GCAATGAGGGCCTAGAAAGAAGAAGCATGCTCACTGGAATGATATTATTGTCAGCTAAATTCCTGACCAGCTTCTTCATTGTCCCGACATCGTCATTTACACCACGCAACAAAACAGTTTGGTTCCGCACCATAACTCCCTCTTCGTACAGCTTCTGCGCCGCCAACCGAGTAATCCATGTCATCTCCGACGAATGATTGAAGTGAGTATGCAATGCCACCGATTTACCGATCCGTCGTGCAGTCATTGAAGCATCAATGAGGTTCTTCGTCCATGCATCCCCTGGAGTCAGTATACGTGAAGGACACACCGCCAGGCCTTTGCTGGCAATACGAATGCGACGGATGTGCGGGATGGAGAGCAAGCGTTCAGTGATACTGATGAGATGTTCTGAGGGGATGTAATAACCATCCCCACCGGACACGACGATGTCGGACAGCTGTGGTGTTTGTTCGATGTATTCGAACATGCGCTCCCAGCGGCGACGAGTAGGCGAGAAGGATTTTTTGGTAGATACTTCTTCTGTGGGTCCACCTACAGAGTAGGAGCGGGTACAGAATCGGCAATACACAGGGCAAACAGAGACAGCTAAAAATCAAATTAGCCTCTGTTTTTTACACCTCGGAGAAACGATTCACCTAGGAAGAGGGCTTTATCATGATACCGATGGACTAGGCCTGGCGTTGGAGAATCTCCTGTTTCATTTAGCGAATCCAGCTGAAGCTTCGGATGATCTTGAACAAAAGACGATCTTAAGGGGATAAACTGGCGTCGAATTGGGTCTGAAAGTGGCTTCGCCCAATCAATCACGCTCATGATATGTGGTGTGATACGTATAGACATCGGCGCAAGGGAAATTCCACCTAAGACGTGCTGAACAAACATATCTCGCGTCCGAATGAGGCGCAATGGCTCGGGTGCGTCTTCATCATGAGGGATATCCTCCGGGAGGACAGTATAGAGAAACTTGGCTAATTTGTCTTTCCCTTGGACAGTATTTGCAACCTAAAGAAGGGACGGTGGTAAGCTGGACAATTCATTCGAGCGAGTTAGTTTAGAAATCTCACCTGCCAGCTATAATCCAGAAATTGGGATTCTGTGACGTCCTTCCAGACTGGAATTTTATGCCAGTAAGACTCACGATGAGCAATCTGGCTTAGTTCATCGGTCGCAGAGGGCTTCGTTGCTTTGTCTGTGGTATCGTAGATGACGGATGTCGAAAATGGTGTCTTGAAGCTTCGGAAGACCGAGAGAACAGGGGAGCGTTGTAACAGTCGCGGTCGAATTAAACGAAGACCAAGCGTCATTATCAGGCCTGAAATAACACGGCAAAATGCTGGTTACGAGCATGCTTAAGAATGCCAGGTCAAGCTTCTCGATTTACTCAGCATTCTGTTGCTGATTCATTCACCAACCCCACCAGTAAGTGTTTATCCCCATCTGAATTTCTCTTCTAAGCACTACACAAGCGGAAAAATGTGTAGTATTCTACATTGTAAGCTGCCGCATGTATTTATTTCCAGCCAAAGAACGGCGCTGTGCATCTGTGAGATACGATTCCGCCGACACAATGAGGAGCGGCAATTAGTTGGAAGAAGCGAGAGAGGGAAAATCATTTGTGATAGCTAGCAAGTCGCTGACAGACATTCCCATGTGTTTCATAGTTCTCCTGCCAGCAAGCAATGCTTTTTGCAGAAACACCGAGTGCCTCAACTACACTGACTATGTCCCAGTCATTGGAGAGGTGCTCGAGTGCTCGCTGTTTCATATCATTGCTGATTTAATGGTACACCATTGAGCAAAGTAGAATGGGCTTTGATTTTTTATCTTCTACATTATTTTTGATTTCATGATTTTCTTGTGGTCCGAAACTATCGCTGATACACCTGAAAATGATCTGTACCTAAAGCTGTAAAATTTCGAGTTTTTCTGGTGGAACATTTGGAAAGTCTACAGTGCTAGGTACTTTGTACAGATATTAGCTACAGATGAACTGTGAGGGTTCTCAGTGGCCAGGCACAGTTACAGAAGTTACTTAGACATGCTAAAACCCATCCTTTGTGCCCAGTTTGCTGTTCTCTAGTAGCTCCCCAAATAAAACTAGACCAATGACTATAGCTAGAACTAGGTGCAGCAGGAGAAAAGTCCACAAATACTCTTAGAGAGCAAATTCAACCTAACGGGGGTGTATTTAATTAGGCAGGGCTCCTTACACTGAAGAAGGATGAACTGATTAAGCCCAGCCCCGACAGTCAAACATCTGTACCCCTTTTTCTTATCTTACGTATTTATATATAGCGAGTTTGTCGTTATCTCTCAAAACCTTTTATCCGTTCTGAGGGTATGTTTTTCCCTGCATTCCATATTCTATTTACCTTCGCTAATGATACTATAGCTTCGTGTGTATTCATTTAGGTTATAGATAAATCGAGAACCTTTCATCTGTTCTGAGGCTTCGTGTGTACTCATTTAGGTTATAGTGAACTCTGACAAATGTGCATCCTGCGCGGCATTCTGATCGATGAAAATTAGCTCTTGACGGGAAGACGTCACGTAGTGCACACGTTCCAACACGTTCATGCGCCTCGTATTAGGACGCAGGGTCCATGAGGCGCAACTCGCCATCCAGTAGCAGCGTCACCTTTCATCTCAGCCCTCATACCTCCTCCCTCCTCCTCTTTGTTCTTCCGCTCAAACCATCACTGCAAATGATGTCTAATCTTCAGGCACTCCCCGGATTTTATAAGTTGCTTTTCTTATATCTCGAACCAGGTGAGGCGTCTTCAAGCCTGGGACTCTCGACAATGTGTCCCGGGTGATATAGACTCCTAAAATCGCTCAATCCATGGCAGTCTCCGCTATCATCCCTGCTCCGATGATCTGGCTGTGGCCTGGCGCAACTTGGTTCCGCGACGAACAAATCCCCCATTCCGATTTCCCATTCCTGTCTTCTACAGAATCTCTGGACCCTCGTACTGCAATTGCATCGTGGCATCTTGGTAATTGTAAGTATATTATGGGTTCCTTTTACAGATTTCAACTGTCCATTGATATACTATGTCTGTTGGAAAGGTTACATGCTTGTAGGGTTAATATTATCTTTCGTCTTTCGAGTAGTAGGGAACGCATTTTGGGACAATCCCGTTGCCCAAGAGCAGGTTGTTGGTGCCATTCTAACCGCTATGGCGATTGCCGATGTAAGTTCCAGTGTCCTCACGAATCAAAGAAGCTAAACGGGAATACATACAGGTTACACAGTGACAATTCTTCATAATAGTCACTGCTACTAGAATCTGAATTCTCTAATTGGGTAGTGTTCTGTCGAGCTTCATCGGACTTCCTCCCGACCTACGGTACAATATCTTATCGTGGAATGGGATAACACACGGCAACATCACCTTTACAACGTTTATATTCTGCGTTAGGTACTTGCTATTACTTTGGTTCTGGAGTTTACTGAATCGTGCTCAGGCTAGCCTGGTTCTTGGGTGTAGGAAGGCGCCGCTTTTACTATGGCCGAAATGATTCTGTTCGATTAGAAAACAAATCTCGATGAGTGTGTACCTAATTTCTTTAACATGTCATATGGGAAATCGGGCTGGAAACGGTGAAGACATGCATTCCAAGTTATTCTACCAACATATACATAATTTTATTATTGTTATCTTGACTCGAATTTGTACAAAGCCGGCCACGTCTCCTTCAGGCTCGTAGCCTGATCCAAACATCATCGAGCAGAGGACGTTGAAGCGTCGGGATCAGCCTCTTTTGAGGTGAAAGTGAGCCAGATGAACAATTTGAGCTCGTGGTGGGCGATGTGAGTGGGAGTGATGTCGATGAGTTACGTTGATGCATACGTATAGTTAAAAGAGAGTTACAAGTTTCGGGCATGCTGATGTTGGAAAGGTTGCATGGCGATAAGAGGCGACGCCATGATACAGGCCGAGGGGGAGTGAAAAGCTGAAGTGAATCGTTAGAAGGAGCTTGGATATCGTCGAGATTGGGTGATTTGTTGTCGTTGATAACAGCCCGGCTACAAACAGAGACGAAGCAAAGAGACGAAGAAAAGGCGACAAGAGAACAGAGACAACGGATAATAAGCTCTAAGTCCTGGCAGCAAATTCGATGGCCGTGGTATCATGACGGAGTCTGAGCGGAAAGGTCAGGAAGAAGTCCCTGTTGACCACAAATAGGCCCTGGATGAGGGCCAAAGCACGGCGAAGAGGAGACCACTTGAATCAAGTAATAGAATTTGTGAAGGGAGGACAGAAGTCAAAAGTTGAGCAGAGAGAAAGTACTTAACGGACACGAGCTATCCACCGGTCAAATCCATTTTTGAAATAGTCCTCTCAATTCTGTCGCACCATTAGAAGCTTCCAAGTAATTCTTAAGGAGTCAATTGATTAACTTAATAATGCTGAGAGGTGAGAACATGCGCATGGATAGGATTTCCGAAACTTCTCGGTCCGCTATTCGCTTCTGTTCTTTCTTTCAGCCTTCATGCGTACCCAACTCTAGTTTTCAAGATGAAGAGCTCCGCTGCTACAGGTTCAAAGTAGCACCCAAAGTGAAAAAGCACTCAGTGACATTATATGTATGCATCTAGTTCAGCCATCGAGGTTCGATAATTACTTACAACCCTAGGCTCGCTCATCCATAATTGAATCATAAAGTCAAGCAGGCAGAACTTTAACCTTAGCAATAGCAAGGTGATAACTCCCATCTTGACATCTCCAAAATCTTTTGGTGTCTAGGACCATAAACTAGAATGACGTGGTCTACTTACAGCCAACTTTGTTTCATGGATGGCATCGCAAACCGTAGGCTCCCTCTTGGATCGTACCTTTGAAATGAGAGCTCTATGTCAATGCAACTGAATTTTTGGTGGGCTGTACTGAATTTAGTGGATGTGTTGAATCCAACAGCTCTATTTGTGATGTTCTACTGAACAATCTCATGCACAGTGTCGCACAGGAGTTTTTATATTTCGGTCATGATTATCCAATGTGGTGTGGTGGTCAACATTACCGTCTTTCATTTATGAGAAGGACTTTCATACACAGCAGCCCGGGGTTCGATTCCCCGACCTGGAATGATGCGATCTTTGTGAAAGTATGTATATTTTTGTTTTTCCTGCACTTAATTTTGTGCCTCAAGCTTCTCCAGGACTTGTTCCATATAATAAGCATACTCCAGCTCCACATAGATTGAGAGTATATCATAGCGCTGTAGCATACCTGGATAATTACAAATCTAACTTACGAGTAGCGTTCAACCAAGCTTCATCTTCCTGGCTCAGATTCCCTTCAAACTTTTCAAAAGTAGGTATCGCTTCCCAGAAATTCTTTTCAATAATACGAGCATGCCTGGAGCTTCGACAGGTTATCTTGCGCTGGAAAGGTTTTGGGGCAGTCCATATTCCCTAGAATCAAGGAGGGACATAAGCTAATGAACATCTTCAATGTCATTGGATAGCATATATGTATCATACCTTTTGGTAATTGAAGATATCGACGGGAACAAGCTTGCCAGAGGTTGAGTCAATGACTTGTTCACTTATCCATTCAACAAAAGACTCAGCTTGTAACGAGCATATTCGGTAGGGAATATGTTCAGATTTCCGAGCAGAGGGATGGTCGGAGGGCCAGGAGGCAAGGAAGGCTTCCTATCTTGTATAATGTTCGCAAAAGCCAGATCGAGAGAAGTAGAAGTGTAGAAGTGTAAATCATTGATAGTAAATTGTTGAATCAGGTAATGAGAGGACAACGAGGTAAAAGATAATTCTTATTATTTGTGGGTTACTGTAAGTATCTTATATACAAGTCCGAATAATACCAGAACGTTCTACAATGAACTGCGGAGCACTCTGTCGAGTCGCTCCTCGAATGTTAAAGAATATTCCGGGATATTCTAGGAATATCTCAACATAAATAATGGAGGGAGGGGTAGGAGAAAGAAGAGAGGAGGTAATGGAACAGGCGTTATCTCATATGATAGGCATTATGCGGACAATCATTGAATTGTTTTCTGGCATGTATTCTAGTTTTCTTATTAATGCATGATCAGCAGACTCGAAGGAGAGATAAGTGAAACTTCATAACGAAACCGTAGGAGCGCTACCTGAGCGAAGAGGTTACAGTCAGTACTCTGCGTGTCATGGTTGACCATTCCCTTACTTGCAAAACCAACACTCGCATGCCTGTTCGATTCCCCGTTGGATGGGGCGCTGCATCCTCCCCGATACAATCTGTCCTCTTTCGCAGTCTCCTTTATTTTCGGATTTGCTGATTTCGCTTTGTTGCACACTGATTATGATCAGAATTAAACTGAGGAAAAGTTCTTTTCGCGAATCAATAAAAGCTCCAACGACACATGCGCATTCAGCACCTTTCAGCACTCAGCGCTCAGCGCTCGACCTGCAAGATGTCATGAGGAAATTTACCTCAACAATTGCTGTACAATTCCGTTAGGAATCCTATGAATTCATTTCGCTTCCTGCACTTTGGCGCTGCATGTTTTTGTAATGTTCGAACAGACGAACAAGCGGACAGACAGAATATGCACAAATACCCTTCGCCGCAAAACGACAGCCTCGCTTTCCACCCTATACTCACTCAAAGGAATTTCTTTGAAGCTAGTATGACTCGCTGGGCTCAACTGCTCCAAATTGTCTTCGTTTTTGCTGTGGTCGCAGCATCCACGGCTGGCGCAAGTCCACTTCCTGAACCACGGTAAGTCCACCAAAAGCCTTCAATGTTCCTCGTCGATGAATGAATCAAATGAACTCACCATGTTGGATCTTTCTTGCTGCCCTTGCCTCCCTCGACTCTCTTCCTCTCGGTCCTTCAGTGACGATGCAGTGCTCCAACGGGATGTATTCTGCGAGAGATGCCTGGAACACATCAGTGATAATTAATAATTTTACTGTATCCTAGGACTGAGGTGAGTATTAGTCCCCGCGTACACCAGGCCAGATATTGACTTACCTCAAATCAGATTTCCTCTTTAAACAGCTATGATGAAACCACACACCTTGATGATTGATTCGGACGATATTTTTATGATGATAACGACTTGAAGTCATGATGGACTAGATCCATTACTATGAAAACGTATGGATAAAAAGCCTTTGTCGGACTCCTGGAGTACGTTCTGTAGTGCACTCGAATCTTCCCATAAATCCTTGTTCTGTGTGATCTAGCAAAAGGGTCAGTACCAGTCAACGTGCTATGAAGATTTTTATTATCGCTTTGAGGTCTTCAGAGTCTAAACACAGGGAAAATTGCGGGTACAAGGACACCGGAATATTAATAGTAGAAAGGGATAAAAATATTACGTGAAATCAATTAGAATTAGGAAGATTCATTAGACGATAAACAGCCCAGGACGGGCTGATGGTAGAGAGAGGGAGGAGAACAGTACACCATCGATACGGAGTTTCACAGCAAGGTGCAAGAAAGGATTTTGGTGATGAGCTTAACTAGTCCATGTGAACCAGCGGCCGAGAGGGAGGTAACAATGTACGCCTGCCCAAAGGTCATGGCTCCAGAGAAAAAGAGAAAAAGTAACCCCAAAGACGTTGTGCTCAGTATTCAAGATGTAAAGCCAAACCAGGGAACAAAGAACTTGTTGAAACTTCTGCTTGATAATACCTGCGCCTGGATTTGAAAGTGTTCATGGGGGGACAATTAGTCCGTTGCAGCTTTCAATAAAAGTTTCCGTAAGCGCTAGGCAAAATCGAGCGAGTCACTCGAGGATATCCATGTTCCATGGCCAGTGTCCCGTCCTTCCGATAGTTTCTTGTTCAATGTAATAAGAATTGTGCAACAACTAGAATACACCGCTGATGCCGATCGGCATCTAAACTGTTCTGCCTCAGATGTTTGATCCACTCTCGCCTGCGCATTGCATTTTCATTATGAAACCTCCACAACAACATCACATTCCACCTCCATTTTTGCTAAATTCCGGGCCAACACCCCAAGATGTATATAATCATTCGATCTTCTGATAACGTTGAGTTCCGTGTTCACAAAAAGAATCTTGATTTCGCATCTGGTGGACTCCTCAAGCCAGTATTTGAACCTAACTCAAGGAGGTTATCTACTTCTGGGAGAATTCAGAGGTTCTAGAACTTTTCTTCCAATTCATGTATTCCAGTCGGTTCTCACCGTTGAGAAATCAGGAGTTTACTTCGTTGCTATCACTTTCGGAAGCGGCTGTGAAGTATGAAGCGTATGCACTTATTGAGATTTACAAGCTCAATCTCGGGTAAGACATATTGCTAGGATTCCTTTCGGCACTGACCTCTCCGCGCATTAGAGGCTTCTCTGCTGCATTGACAATCCTACAATTCGCTGCTGAATCTGACCTTCGAGAGCTCAATAGATGTCATGCTGCTCTTAATTCATGCTCGTCTGCCCGAAATTCAGGAGATTTCATCACCTTTAATCTTCAAGTACCGCGTATGTCAATCAAGCGGGCTCAAGTCCTGATCAAGTTACACGTAAGCCTTCTTTTGCCCAATTCCTTTCAGAGGCTTTACCGAGAGCGTTGGGTGCCAGCCTTGATAAAACAGAATACCTCTCCCTAAGCGCAACTGTCGCCCCTCAAACGCATTGAACTTGATGGCGCTTCCATTGTTTACAATACTTTCCGAAAGATGAATACTTGTTTCCATTCAGCTATCAGACGATTGTAACAACTTGTTGACGTACTAGCATCCGCGTATATGAGGAACCGTTGTGTCCAGAGATTCGATGAGTTCGATGATGGAATCGAGCGCATCGGTGAAGATTCCGTACAACGATTGGAATCCCCTGTGTCTTGATCAATAATTCTGCTTGTATGTGGTTCATCTCGTGGCGAATGTACCTGTCCAGACGCTTCTTTTTCGAAACCGAGTTGCTTCATCAAGTCCCATCTCCGTCTTATTGGTGGTTGTCGAACCCTATGACATTCAAGTCTGTTCACTGTCAATTGATCTTCTTCCAAGGCCATAAAGCGAGGGTCGGACAGTGTATCTAGCTATATTTGCCTCAGCTATCTTTGACTCATGTCTTCTCACAGGAACATCCCAAACACCATTGTATCTCCACGCCAACGTCACCTGCCAGAGAGTATAAGTGGGCATCCTTTACTTCTCGCACCTAACCCTTACTTCACCACCGTACAAATGGTACAGATAACACCAGAACAAAAGGCAGCGTTCGACAGAGAGGGGGTGCGTAACCGCTCATTGAATTACAGGTTGTATGACTTAGGTTTTCATATCACTTGCCAGTTTCTCGTTCTTCCTCCGATCTCAAAGACCGTATCTCAAAACATCGAAAATTGGGCCAATCAAGTCAAGGTGAGCCTCATCGAGAAGTTCATCGGCAGTTTTCGATACTTACATTTTTTGCTTGTCCGTGTTTCACGTTGCTCTTCCTGTATGATACTTTCTGTGACTTTGACTCAAGAATCTTCCTAACCGCCCCGATGCTTGGATGCACTACGAAGAAGTGATTAAGGGATCCAAACCAGAAGAACGAGTTTTGTGTCGGACGGAAAATTTCGCTGATTACCATGAAGGATTCAATGACCTTTTTCGTGGGCAAGAAATGACTAGTATACTCGAACAACTGACAGGGGAATCGATGGTCTTGTTCAAAGAAAAGATTAACTATAAGGTGCGTGTATCCATGTAAGGTTACGAAATGGCATACAGGATTCAGCGAACTTATACTTAGCTACCTTGGGCTGGTGGATATCAAGCTCATGTAAGGCATGGAAATATGAACATCAGTGTTGTATCTCACACTGAATTTTTGAACAGCTTGATTCTCTCGGATGTAAGGCATTACCAAATTCTCAACCGGCGACCTTTGAACCGACATTCATGTTCAGACAAACATATCGGGAATGTGAATTACTTGAGCGGTAGACGTTCAAAGCATAAATAGCTTCAATTGACTTACTTTATGACCCCTCTTAGTACTGATAGCTGCTGAACCAGCTACACTGCGAAATGGGTGTCTAGAGGTAAGAGTTTTAACCTTCACACTCAAGCTCGAGTATGTAATTCTCGTTCTGTCGTTAGGTAGTTTCAGGC